CAAGAAGAGTCACTTAGCAATACAGAAATCTGACAAGCACCACTCCAGGCTGGCTGGTAAAAGGGAGCATCGCCTGTGATGAGTCATGTCTGTAGCGTGTGCTCCTGATATGATGTGCTGAGAATGGCCTGTCCCCGCCATGGTCTTCCTCCCCAAACCCCAAACCCCAGGTGAACCTTGAGAAAAGCATCAGACAAACCAGAGTGGAGGACGTAAAATGCCTCTCAAGTGTCCCCCTAAAATAAGGCAAGTCTGAGAAATGGACACGGCCCAGAGGAGCCTCAGGCCTGGTGACAGATGCTGTGTGGTATTTTAGGTAGAATCCCCCGCAAGGAAGGACAATAGGTACAAGCTACTAAAATCTGAATAGACAGTGGGGTTCATAGGAATGTGCCCATGGGGACTCCTTAATCGTGACAATGTGCCACGATTGTAAACAACAGAAGAAACTGGGTCGTCGTGCACGGCAACTCTCCACCATCTCCACAGCTTTTCTGTACACCTAAACCCATTCTAGAATAACAAGGTTTTAAATGGATCACAGGTTTGCATTTCAGGCAGTCCCCAAGACTTTTGGTTCCTTCTTTTTGCCAGCACTAAGAATCTGAGCTGCTGATTTTGGGGGTGTCCAAACCCCCAGATCTCAATCTCCACTTCCATAAGAAATAGGATCATTTTCAAGCCCGGGGGGGGGGGGCATTTTGTTCACTATTGTGGTGTCAGGCACACAGCAGGTGCTCAATCAATGTTTGTCAAATGAATGAAACTGGAAGAGGTCGGTGGAAGGAAGGGATCCAAGCAGAAAGCCAAGCTCAGCCCTTGCCAGGCCAGGAAGAGCTTCCCTCCCACTCTCCATCCACAGGGAAAGAGTTCCGCAGTCTGGTGGGAAGAGGGCAGGCCACTTCCTGGACACTGGACACAGTTCCTGGACACTGCCTTTGGAGAGCAAGCAGAGGGATTTCCTTAGGAGTGTGGAGATAATGAGAGGCAGACTGGCCCTCCCAAAACATTCCCTATGTCCTCATCCAAACTCCCACCTTCCAACCTCAAAGGGCCACCACGGTCCCTCAGTCCAGATGCCAAAAACTATCTGCAAAGAAGCTTCTTGGAGTCAGAACTGTTTGCCAGGTCCTAGGTGCTGTGCCGCCGGGGGGAAGGCACCCCAGGGACAGGACGATATCACACAGCAGGCGCTTCTCATTGTTCACATTGGTGGCCACCATTTACTGTGTACCTGACCTCAGGTGGAGGAGGTGCAAGCTGCTCCCATCGTGAGGATCATCAACTCCATTTTGTAGAAGAAACAGAGACCCCGAGAGCTTAAGAAATACTCCCGAGTCACAACTAGAAAGTATAGGGTAGAGTTTTTAAATCCAAGTTATATTAGCCCCAAATCCACTCACTGCCCCCTCAACATCTGTCCCCTTCCCCTAGACCAGAGCCTTCGCCCAGGCCCTGCTCTCCAAGAGGCACCCCATGCTCGTTCCTTTGTCTGCAGCCTGCAGACAATTGTCATTTTTAAGTCTCTTTGTTTTAAAACTCAGTTTGCCCATTTCCACCTTAGAAGTGCTTCTTGATATTCCTTCAGGCCAGCACCCTGGACAGACCATGCAAGCAGAATCCAGGGAGACGTTTGCTTCTTAGCAGCATGCAGCCCTGGGTGCTCCAGAGGAGGCTTGAGTGTTTAGAGATCCCCTCCCCCATCTTGCTCTTTTAATAGCCTTTTCCATATTGATTGCTACCTATTCAGATATTTCAAATATGTCCTGTGCTTGGTATAATTTGATATCTGTCCAGTCCCTAAAGGGCCTTCCCAACAAATGTTCACACGATGTTACAGTCTGCTTAAAAGATTTATATTCCCTTTGGCTGAATAGAGACACAGAGAAAGGTAGACTCTTTGTCTTCCCAGGCAGGGGACCTGTGGTCACTGATGGGGCAGCCTCCAGCAGGTCCCGTTTAATATATCACTTATTAAAATGGACCCGCAGCCATGGCCCAGGGCTCCCGAGCTGCCCCCTTCCCAGCAGAGGACAGCTCCAGGCATAACTGACCATATCCAAGACTTGCCCCCACCCCAGCCCACCCCGACACACTCCTCTGTTGTACAGAATGACAGAGATGGCCAGGGCTTCTAGACAACAACCAACAAAAGGACCTCTAAGGGCTGAAGGACATGGTTGCAGCTGGGTCTGAGCCTGGGTTTGGGGTCAGATGGCTCTGCGTTCCAGTGCTTCCTCTGCATCATACTGAGTCACCTCACACTAGTTACTTACCCTTTCTGAGCCCTGCCTCCCACTGTATAAACAGAGTAATAATAGTGCCTCTTCATGCCACTGGTGGGAGCCTGATATACAGGAAAATTCAGGTGGAGGCTGTGTGGTCCTTTTAGCCCCTCTGGGGCCTCAACTTTTTAACTAGCTGAAGGCAGTCAGTCCCTCTGGGTTTCCAGGGTTGCTGGGGCTGTGGTGTGGGAAAGAACTCAGTAATTGCACTGTGCTTGAATCAGGTGGTCAGGGGCAGCAACCTGGGCATGGACCGAAACTGTTTTTTGAATCTTCTCAAGTGGCTCCTGCCCCTGCTGGACAACCGATGTCCAAACTGAAGGTTGGCCCTGCCCCTAACTCTCCAGGCAGCACCCCTGGGACTTCCAGGGGGAAAAAGCAGAGGATCGGTATGCTCCTTAGTACCTAAAGACCCTCAGCTCCAAGGCATTGGAGGTGCCCAGGGTCAGCAGGGAAGAGAGCCAGGGTCAAGAGGAGGGTCATGTGGCTGGGGAAACCAAGCTGGCATTCCCAACCAGTCACCCCGCTGGCCTGCCAGCTCCAGCTTCCCCGGTGTCCTCTTAACCGCAGCTCAGAGGAACCCTGGGCTGGAAGCTAAGGCCGGGGGGCCTCCACTGCCTGAGAAGGGGGATGAGACATCACCCTCCCCCATGGGCCCCTGCAGCCCCTTCTTCTCACCCCCTCCTGGGGACTGTTACCTGATGTCTGAGTCACACTGAGGCTCCTGTCACTGTGAGCTGTGTTGTGACTCCTCGGCTGACAGTTTCATAACAAACACATTAAAAGCTCCCTGCACTGGGGTTTCTGGATGTGAAACAGCCAGGAGAAAAATCTCCTGGCCTTTCTTCCCAAAGCCTCTTGCTCCAGAGGCCTGACCCACAACCGTGAACTGCCCCTGAGAGGCTGGGATGTTTTCGTAACAAGCCTCGGGAAGGGGTGACTGGGCTCATCCTCATGCAAGGACCAAGGAGCTCTGGAAGGTGAAGGTGCAGAGAAAGAGCTAAGCTCATCCTCAGCCCTGCCTTGGAGGACAGGTGGCCCTCAGTGACCCGTTAAGTGGACATAGATTGACCCAACACTGAATGCTTCTGCATGCTGAGTGTCGTTCCTGCTCCCCTCCACCCTATGAAGTTGGTGCTGACTTATCCCCACTTGACAGATTAGGCAACTGAGACTTGAAGATTTGACAGCGTGTTCAAGTTCATAGAGCTGGGATCTGAATGAGTCTGACACCCTCTAAGCACCACTCTAAACAAGGCTGCCTGCCTGCCAGCCATCCTCTCCTCACCATCCAAGGATGGCAGAGGCCTTGGGGAAGCAGAGAATTCAGCCTGCAAATTTAAAATGGAGTGAACTTGTCCTTTGGGTAAGGACTTGCCCATTCAGCCCATCTTCCCTCCCACAGGAGGCTACCCACAGTGCCCCCCAGAGGACCCCCCACAATGTGTTTTTGCCTCACAAGCCAAAACCACCATCCTTTCCTTCCGGACTGCAACCAGCAAATTGACAGCAAGTCCCTCAGAACCAAAGTGGAGGAAAGAGAGGAGAGAGACACAGGAACGGTAATTTTATTGTACATTGGAGAAATAGCCCTGTGTGCTGGTTCAAGGTGCAACATACAGAATATCCAATTTAAGAAAATAAGGAACCAGGAAAGAAAGGGAGGGGAAACCTCTTGAGGTCCAAAGTTGCAAACAAAAAATGGTAAAAGATTCCTCACGCAAGAGGCATTTTTGCAAATACCATGCAAAACAGGCAGCTGCTGTGCCTTAGAGAATCCCTATAAATAACAGAAGACTCCAAGCATTCCTTTATGTGGACTCAGAGCACAGGGAAAAGGAAGGAAACAAAATGCCTTTTGGCATTTCAAGATATTTGGCACTCTTGTGATTACATTTTTTTTTTTTTACAGTCCATTAGAGAGAATAAACTGACACAATATTAGAGAAAAAAACAGGCGGCTCAAACAACAGACTGCAGCGGGGAGGTTAGAAAAAGCTCAAGCATTTTTTTTTCTTTGTTTTTCGTGTTTGTTTTTTTCTGACATATAAAATGTGTCCATTTGCATTAACTTGGGCAAATAGCTTGCAGCAACAAAGAAACACAAGCTTTACAATTCATTTTAAAATAAGACAAGGATCCTTTCTATGTATCATTCCTTAGAAAAGTTATCTTCTTGTTTTAAACACATTCCTGATAACTTCAAAAGATGACCAAAATAAAACAGTATCTACAGAGATCATTTTCTGATTTTTTTGTACATCCAAAGTTAACAACATAAAAAAATAAAACTAGACAGCATTTCACATCCAAGTGCACAGAATCATTTTTGCAAGATTAAATAATGTAAACATTGGGAACAGCCAAATCAGCGAAGAATACCAACACCTCATCCGGTGTTGCCGCTTCGTTAAGTGGTTCAAAATCCAGATCTATAATTGCGCAATATTCACGGTATAGAAAAAGAAATAGATATTAATTTGACAAATAGCTGCAACTGAGACTTCTTTTTTATTTCTTTATATGTGTATATAGTGATTTAATTTTTTTAATTTTATGTATTTTATTTTTATTTTTGCAGAGGAGCCCAGAGCCGCCGCCTCCTCCTCCTCCTCCTCCTCCTCCTCCTCCTCCTCCTCCTCCTCCTCCTCCACACGCCTCATCTGTCTCCAGGCCGGCCTGACAGGAGACACAGGTTGTTGATTTCATCGTGGGTAGCAAGCTAGTAATAAATTGCAAAGTGCTTTCTCTTTTTCATGCTTTTTGCCAATAACTGCTCCCGCCGCGGTTCTTATTCTTTCCCTTAACTCATTGTCTTTGGGGGAGTTAGACACCCGGAGGTGCCTTGTCGGTCATATTTTTCAGCACGTCATCAATCCTATCATCTTCAATAACAACTGCAAAAAAGGGGGGGAAAAGAGAGGTGAGCACGCTTGGGCCCTGCCAGGGGTCTTAGATGTTTCGTGTGCCGCCAAGTAGGGAGGGGGGAGAGGGAGAGGGAGGAGGGCTCACTGCCGGGTGAGACAGCCCCCTCCTCCTCGGAGGCTGCCTAGGGACCCTTTACAGCCAGGCTCTAAACTGCGCTACCCCCGCCCCCCATGCTGGGTGCCAGCTGAATGGTGCAAAAAAGGAAGCCGAGAGGTCGCGAACGCAGCAGCCGGCTGCAGCCAGCGAGCGCTCTGGCCGCGTCCTTCCCCCACCCGGTGCATATTATTGAGAAAGGAGGCTCCTTCGCAGAGAAGGGAGAGGAGTGGGAGCCCCGGGTCTCCGAGGCTCTGAGCCCCCCGCGGATGTCCCCAGCGCAGAGCGCGTGGCCAAGGCTGAGTGCGGAGGTGCGGAAGAGCCAGGAGGGGACGCCAGGGCCGGTTCCCACCGCGAGAGAGCTGGCGGAGGGTTCGGTCCTGGCCTGGGCCGGCGGCCTCCAGCCCTTGACTCTCCGGGTGGCTGCAAAGGACAGTCTTCCTTCGCCGCCTGCCCGGGGCTCTGCCTCTCTCACCATCTCGACCTAGCCGAGGCTTTCTCAGTCCCTCGGCGCGACGGTCGCCTCTTGAGATCTCGGGGTCTCTACGTCAGGGGTGCCGCTCACGCTCATTGTTACACTGCTTCCCCGTCCTCCCGAGACCTGCGTCCCAGGCTCCGGCTCTCCCGCTGCAGCTGCCCCCAGAGCTTTGTCCCCGGCTCTCAGCCGACCTCGTTGTCCCGCGTACCCGCTCCCGTCCACCGCTACGTCTCAGTCTCTCCTGACAGCCGTCGGGCAACCTCCTGTCCCCGCGTCTCTGGAGCTCCTCTCGGAACCTCCCGGCGTCTCGGTCTCACTGGGGTTTCTCCAGCTCCCGAGCCGAGCGCCGAGCCGTGGCAACTCCCCACCAGCTCCCTTTACCAACTAACACGAAAGCCCGTGCGACCCGAGTGCCCCTAGCCACCGCGGCAGGAGTGGGAGCCTCCCCTACGCGGTTTCCCACGCCGTTCCTTGGGGGACCCTGGGACCTTCCCCCAGGACAGTACAGCGAGCGCAGCTGCGACTCCACTGCGCAAAAGAAGGGGGGTGAGAAATAAAAAAGCAAACTTTGACGCGGGTGGGGAGCGGGTATAACCCTTCGGCCTCCGCCGCAGCTAAAGGCCGCCACGCCCCCGGTGGACCCCACTCGGGATCCAACTGAGGGGGACGCCTACCCTTGGTCTGCCCCAACCCGACCCGCAGTGCGGGATCCCCCAATTCTGCGGGAGGGGACTCCATCCGGTTCGAACAGGCTCTGGTGTTCGGGAGACCCCTGCAAGCCTCCGCCAGGCCGCAGCGCCGGAAGAAGGAAGGAGGTGTCGGGGAAGGGACTGAGAACTCACCCCGCTTGCTCCGGCCGATCTGGCCCAGTTTGGGCGGCCGCTTGTTCTGCCCGGCGCCGAAGAAGTTGTTGGTGTCCTGCAGGCGGCACGAGAAGATCTGGCCCACGTCGCCGCCGTCGCCGTAGGGGCTCAGCTTCTCGTCGCCGTAGGGCAGCACCTCCGACATGGTCGCGTCCGGGGGCTCCGCGGCGGCACCACCTCCGCCCGCGTCCCCGCCCGCGGCGGACAGGGTCAGCGGCGCTGGGGCCGGGGGCGGCCGGCCGGGGTCGGCCCGCGGGCTGCGGCGGCGGCGGCGCCGGCGAGAGGCTGGGGGACACCGCTAGGGCAAGAGCGCGCAGCCGGCGCGAGCGACCCAACGAGCGCCCGCAGCTGCGCTGCGCTGCGCTCGGGCTCCGCGCGCGAGTGGCTGCTGCTCCGGCCGAGGAGAGCAGGACTCACATCCTCGGCGCTCTGGGGCGCTGGGCGGGGGCCGGCCGGGCGGGGCCGCGAGCCGGGAGGGAGGAGGGTGTCCCTGCGAGCCCGGAGGGCGCGGGACCCAGGAGGGCGCACCCGGGGAGCCGGGCGGGCCGGTCCTGCGGCTGGTGCGGGCGGCGGCGCTGGATCCGAGAGGCTGACTGGGGAGCTGCAAGCCGCGGGGCTGCGAGGGGCGGAGGGGGAGGGGAGGAGGGAGGGCGGGGGGAGGAAACCCGGAGGGAGGGAGGGGGAGAGAAACCAAGAGGGAGAGGGAGAAAAACAGAGACAGAGAGAAAGGAAGGCAGGGGAAGCAAAAGAGGGAGACAGAGAGAGGGGGGGAGAGGAAGGAGAGAAAGAGAAAACGGGGGGGGCTAGATCTAGAGCGGAAAGGCAGAGGGAAGAGACCGGGGAGGAGAGGGAGCGGGAGGGAAAGAGAGGGTCGGAGAGGGAAAGAGGGAGGAGAGCGGGAGAAGGAGGCAGGGGCCGCGGAGCCAGCCAGCGAGCTGCGAACCAGAAATGCCGGCCGCGGCGCCGAGCGAGGCGCGGGAGGAGGGCGGGGAGGAGGGGACCCGCGGGCCGGGGGAGAGATCCCTGGAAGCCGAGCGACGTCACGGGGCCGCGCTGGCTTCCTGCCCCCGCCCCCAGCACCCGCTGTCCCGCCCGCGCGGCGGGCCCGGTGCGCCCCGCCCCGGCCCGCGCCCCTCCCTCCGGGTGTTTACCCGGCCCCGAGCCGGTGCGCGCCGGCTCCGAGCCCCGCCAGCCCCAGCTTTGCCTCCTGAGGGCAGCTGCGGGGAGAGGACCCGCGATGCACAGGCGGGGAAGGACGCGGATCCGATACTGACCTCCCTGGAGGCCAGAGGCCAGGGCAAAAGATCCGAGAGCACCGGGGCGACACACGGACAGAGCCTCCCTCGTCCTGGTCCCCTACCACACTTGAGCCCCACTGCAGACCTTCACCCCTCAGCGGCTAGAACTTCACCCCCGGCCCCGGGTCCACTGCGTAGGCCCTGAAGGCCCTGCTCCCCCCACCCTGCCCCGCGACGCCGGGCTCCCGCGGGGCCTCGGGTGGGAGGAGGGGGAGGGAAGGCAGCCCCGCCTCCGGCAGGAGAGGGGAGCGCCTCATTAGGCCGGGCTTGCCCGGGTTGCCCGACTTTCGGCGCCTCCTTTCTCCGCCGGGGACGTCCCGGGCCTGCCTTACTCTGCCCCCGGGGACCTCCTTTCCAGCAACAACCATGAACCCTGGCAAGAGACTATGGCCTGAGCCGAGGAGTAGGCTCCTCTATCCCATGGGGGAGAGTGGGACAACCCCAGAGGCCTGGGAGGCGCATCTGCCAAGCAGATGGTAACTCTGAGGGAGCAAGGTGCGTGAGGAGCGCTCATTATCCTCGCCCGGAGCCAGCAGCACCTGCTCTCCCCCCAGAGACCCGCACTGCTCAGCAGAACCGGCCTAATCTTGTACAGGGGCAACCAGCCCAAGGTCACGCAACCTGCTAGAAACACATCCAGGTCGCCAGGTGAACTCTCACCTGGCTCAAACTGCAAGAGGTTGACCGTGAAAGAGCACCGTCAGCCTCACTCTCCCCTCCATAGTTAGAACTCTGGTGGGACCTGACTGGAGGGAAAAGTGGGTGGCCGTTTAATGGTCTGTGGAGTAAAGACAACCTGAAAGGAGCCAAACCCTGTTAAAGGACTGGCTGGCTTCCAGAGGCCAGAGCTCCTGGGGAGGAGAGGGAAGCCAGGCAATGTGGCAGATGGGATAAGCACGACCTTTGGGTTTGACCCATGACCTGTGTTTGAATCCCAGCCCTGACATTTGCTAATTGTGAGACTTGGGGCAAATCATCTATCCTCTCTGAAATTCCACAGCCTCAGCTGTAAGATGGGGCACACGCCTGGCTAGCTAGCTGCCTGAGGTGCCTTGCCCTTCCCGGCAGTAATAAGGGGGAAAGTGAAATGAGGCTGGCTGAGAGTGGACGAGCAATAAACACTTAGAAATCACTTAATGGGTGAGAAAGAGCAGTAGCACTTCACTCCTTGTCATTTCAGAGCCATCTGAGGGGGAGGATCCCTAGAGATTACCTAGCCCAACCCTGTAATTTTCATGTGGGGAGCAGAAGCCAAGAGGGTTGGGGCTAGCCCCAAATCCCATGACTTGTCCATGGCAGGAGCAGCAGGTCTCCAGGTCACCTCTGCTCTGCTGCACAGCAACCTGTCTCCATTCATTAAGGCTCTACCAAGCATCTGCTTCCAGGTTGGCTTCAAGGCCAAATGCTGGAAGAGAAAGCAAGAGCATAGCAAGCAGGATGATAAAGTCACAAGAAGCTCTTACATTTGTATTAGGCTGTTTTTCCCCCAAAGCATCTTTACAGCCATTCTCCACCTTGCTTCTCAAAATAAAATACCTCTCAAGGTACAAAGAGGCATTGCATCCCTGTTTAACTGATGTAGCAGAAAGAGGCTAAGTGACTTACCCAAGGTCAGAAGCTAGCGATGGAGCCAGGAGAAGCCACTCTTCCAGCTGTGATTTCAGGTGCTGGGAGGGAACTCCCTGCAATGGTGGCAGCATGTAAAGCTAGACCACCCACTCATCTGGCTCCTTCCTTGCTGCTGAACAGTGGGAAGCAATTTACACACTGAGCATGTACCATGGCCAAAAGACACAGAGAGGTCCAAGAATCCAGGCACACAGAGCAGGTAAGAGCAAGAAGCCAGTTATAAATCCCAGCTGTTCTTAACTTCACCTTGCTTTGTCCAAACAAGGTCAGAAGTGGCAGCATCTCACCCAATTCAGTACCCACTCTGTCATGACACACACCCCGCCTGAACATGTGGCCCTTGACAAACTGAAAAGGTCTCCTTGACTATTATCTCCTGAATAATCAACCTTCAGAAATGGGAGTCTCTGGCCCATTTAACAGATGAGGTAGCTGGAGGTTAGGTGATCTCTGCAAGGTCACATAGAAATTTCACAAGGAAAAGAGTCAGAATGGCATCTCTCTACTTCTACTCCTCCCAGCTGTCTTTATTACAAAGGCCTCACTTAATCTTCCATTACTTCCATCTTCAGAGTACATCCGTCCATCCTGGGATTCCATTCCTACTGTCTCTCCCCACCCCAGATGCCAAGTGGCTGGCTCTGAGTCAGAAGCCCAGGCCTGTGTTGAAGATGCCAGATCCAGGAGAAGGAAAGGACCAAGAAAGGCTGCCTTCCCTGGTGCCCAGCAAGGAACCCAGTAGTGCACAGTCAGGAGCAGTAGACCAAGGTGAAGAGTTCCCAGAGGTGGTCAAGTTCAAATCCCTGCTCTGTGATCTTTCACTTCTCGGTGCCTCAGTTTCCTCACTTGTCAATTGAGGATATAATCATCCTACTCAGTGGTTTATGCTAAAAAAGTTCAAACATACATCATGCCTGGCACATAGTACATCCTCCATAAGTATTGTTATTATTATTAGCCACTGACTCTCTTTGTGGCTTTTAATAAACTGCCTCTTCTCTTCAGTCCTCTGACTTTACATCATAAAATAGGAAAGATCCCATCTTTTTTTTCAAGTCTCCTAAATTTAAAGTAGATACACAAAGGTGGGGGTCACAGAGCCCTCCCTACCTCTCAGCTTTCCCTTTGAAATTCACCTAAAACTCCTTCACAGAAAATTTAATTGCAGGACTCTGGAATTAAAAATCACAAGCCTGAACCATCTCCTCAGGCTTGGCCCTTTCAGTACAGACATTCAAGGATTGAAACACTGCAAATGAAGCCCCTACTGCTCTCTGAGCCCTAGGCTACAACTGTGGGGTACTGGGGAAGGCCAGCCCAGCAAGGCCCAGCATGAAATAGAGGTTCCCTCTGTTCCCATCCCATCCCTCCTGTCAAGATGAGGAGACTGAGGCACAGGTAGCAGCATCAGTGATAAGACCCATTGGACAGCCCTGCAGGGCATCCATGGGCAGGCCAGGACTAGGCCCCTGAAGGGATAGAGCTGGGAGTGCCAAGCCTTGCCAGGACTGGCTCAGACCCTAGATGATGCGGGGGAAGGATAAGATGCAGTCCACGTCAGTGGCCAGCCGGTCACCTCCAGAGAGGCTAAGAGGCCACCCAGCAGGAATGGCCACTGCAAGCCATAGTCACTGGAACTCTGGTGGCAGCCAGTTCCCCACCTTCCTGGAAAGGCAGAGCCTCTGCCGATGTCACTACTGCACACAGGGAACAAGGAGTAAACACCTTGGCTGAGCGAGGGGCTTGGATCTAGATACAGGAGCATTCAGGGAGCATCTGCGGTGGCCCCTGCGCCAGGCCCAGCCACTCCCAGTTCAGTCAGCTTTGCTGTCGCCATTTGTCCAATCATAGGCCCTTTTTTTATTTTTGAATGGAAAATAAAAGGGAATCCACTGGAGCTACTGGAGCTTCGGTTCCTACCATTTGGGCCTCCTACCCCCAGTGGGTCCCCCAAAGAATGGCCAAAACTTTGCAGGCTCAGTTTGTAAACCACTTCTAGAGTCCATCTAGCCTGACCCCCTCACATTACAGTGGAGAAACGGAGGCCCAGGAGGGGAAGGGCAGAACCCAGGTCTCCCCTGTTACAGTCTCGATTCCTACCACCTCATCCTTTCCTACCGCCTTGTCGCTCCTTATGCTCAGAGTCACAAGCGGGGAGGGAATCCTGGCCACGCACCACCAGTTGCAATATCAAAGAGATTTTGGTTCAACAATGGATTTTGTGTTCTTCTTTAAAATGAAAAGATCATAGTCATTTTAAAGTTTTTATTATGCCCACAAAACTTAGGTCCCATGCGCTCT